AAAAAAAAAAAGGTCGTCACTTCACAGCATCAATCCGGTAACGTTAACCGCAGCAATGGAAAAAATCACTCTGAAACCACACAGAAGTATTTATAATAACAGAGAAGTAAAAATATGAAAAAGGGCGAAATAAAATAAACTAGCTGCCTCAGTGAGATCCGACGCCAAATATCGCAACGCTCGACGCTAAAAGTGGCCCCATCGACGTTTCAAACACTCGTTATGACGGCCAAAACCGTTCGTATCTCCACAAAACCAACCTTTATCCAAAGATAAGACATTATTACATATAATCAGATATAGAAATCCCAAACTCATGAATTGTGGTAAGAGAAATTAACGACCAAAATATGACACCTTCCCTCTGTTTTCCAACTTACCTCCGCCATCTTGGTACCTTTCGGCTACTAGACTGGCTTTACGACGGAGCCCGGATTGACGTCGCGAACCAATGGCGTGAGCGTATTCCTGCTGGTTCGCTCTGATTGGCTGACGCGTCTGCAACGCACGGCGAGCGGGTCACGGGATTGGCTGCTTGGAGCGAGCTGGTTGACGTCGAAATACTGTATTGAGAATTCAGGCGTATTAACAATACACATATTTAGTTGTAATTTATTATTTCTTTGAAAACATACTGGGTGAACTGACTGTATGTTATACAAATTTATTTTTTAAACGTATTAAGATTATGCAAATGGTCAGAATCATCTTCAGCAAGTGCATTGATTTGACTTAAATGAACTATCAATATGATCTATTTAGAACAAAAATCTTTAGGAAAATAAGATTATTTAAAGCATACAGGTTTTCTTGTAATTCTACATCATACGTCTGTTTAATAATAATCGAGCAGATGGTGGCGCCAGTTACTTGTTAAACACAGTTTCCAAACTTATAGTGTTGAAGTGAAACTAGTGTGATACATTTACTTTTTTAAAGAAAATGTTGCACATGTAATATGAATGGTCTTGCTTCTGTTCAGAGTTTATGATGCATAGTTATGAAAGTCATGCCACAATATGCAATTCATTGGATTACATTTTTCATAAAAAGGCTTTGTAAACACAAGCATGTCTTTTCAACCCAGTTTGAATGAGATCTCCTCCTGCAGTTAAACTAAATCCCTGAAACTGTAACGTCACTTTTTCTGCCGGTGACACATCTGAGTCTTCACCTGTACAGGTGAAACAAGATCAGGCGACGCAGCAGATGAAAGCAGAACAAGAAAGTTGAGTTCTCATTTGTCACTGAAGGCTTCAGTCTGGCAGCATGCACATTATTAAAGCACACAGGGGAGGTTAGGTTATCTTTAGAAATGAGTGCATGACTAAATATGCAATAATTCAGTGCGCTTTAGGAAAAAAATCAGTTGTAAATGCAGACATCCCAACTTGGTTGACTTTCATCAGCTGCAGAGATGGAGATTGAGTCAATGGTGGCAAACTGTGCTCTCATAAAAGCACGAGAAGGTAAGAATATT